TTATTTTATTTTTCCTTCTCTTTCTCTATGCTCATCTATTTCGTTTCTTAAATTCCAAATATGAGTGAAATCATATGGTATTTGTCTTTCTCTGACTGACTTATTTTGTTTAGCATAATACCTCTAGTTCCATCCACATTGTGCAAATGGCAAGATTTCATTCTTTTTGATGGCAGAAAAAAGTCTCCTCAACAAATGGACCTTATCTTAAACCATACATAAAAATTAACTCAAAACAGTAAAGACCTAAACAAAAGACCTAAAGTTATAAAATTCCTAGAAGAAAATTTAAAGGGAAATCCTCATGGCATTGGACTTGGCAATGATTTCTTGGATATGACAACAAAAGCACATGCAACAAAAGCAAAAATAGACAAACGGGACTACATCAACTTAAAAACTTTGTGCATCAAAGGATACAATCAACAGAGTGAAAAAGCAACTTACAAAAAGGAAGAAAATAATTGCAAATCATACACCATATAAGGAGTTAATATCCAGAATACATAACTAACTCCTACAACTCAACAAAAGATCAAATCACCCAATTTGAAAATGACAATATGATTCCATTTATATGAAGCACTTAGAGTAGTCAAAATCCTAGAGACAAAAAAATAGAATGGTGGTTGCCAAGGAGTATGGGAGGGAAGAATGGGGCATTATTGTTTAATGGGTATAGAATTTAAGATTTTCAAAATGAAAGGAGTTTTGAAGATGGAAGGTGGCAATGGTACCACACAATATGAATGTACTTTATACCATTGAACTATATGCTTTAAAATGGTAAATTTTGTTATGTGTATTTCAACAAAATAAAAAGGGGTTGAGCAAAGGACTTGAATAGACACTTATAGTTATACAGATGACTGATAAGCATGTGAAAAGATTGAAAAGATGCTCAATATTACTAATCATCAGAGAAGTGCAAATCAAAGCCACAATGAGATATCGACTCACACCCATAGGATAGTTACTATTTAAAAAAAAAACAAGCAAAAAAACAGAAAATAACAAGGTTTGATTAGGATGTGGAGAAATTGGAACCCTGTGCACTATTGGTCAGAATGTAAAATGGTGTAGCTGCTATGGAAACAGCATGGAATTTCCTCAAAAATTTAAAAATAGAACTACCATATGATCTGGCCATCTCACTTCTGGGTATATAACCAAAAGAATCAAAAGCAGGGTCTCAAAGAGATAGTTGCACACTCATTCATAGCAGCACTATTTACAGTAGCCAAGAGGTGGAAGCAACCCAAGTGTCCATCAATAGATAAATAGAGAAACAAAATGTGGATACAATGGAATATTATCCAGCCTTAAAAAGGAGGGAAATCCTGTCACATGCTAGAACATGAATGAACCTCGAGGACATTGTACTAAGTAAAATAAGCCAGTTACCAAAAAACAAACACTGTATCATTTAACTTATATGAAGCATCTAAAGTAAAAAAAAAAAAAAAAATTTAGTGATAATGAAAAATACTTTTTAGATTGTTACCAATCTGATAAATGGAAAGTTTTTTTGTTGCTTCACTAGTGAGGCTAAGTATCTTTTTATATGTTTATTGACCATTGGTAGCACTTCTCTGTATTTCCTGTCCACAGTCTTTGCCCATTTTTCTTCTGGTTGTTTTTTTTTTTTGTTTTTGTTTTTCTTATTGACCTATAAATGTTTTCAATATGTTCTGGAAGCTAATTCTTTATCTCTTAAATGTATGGCAGATTTTTTCTTCCAATTTTTCTCTTGCCTTTTGACTTTGCCTATAATGAATTTCCTTTTTTTTTTTTATTGTGGTAAAAAAAAACAGATAACATAAAATTTACCATTTTAATCACTTTTATGTGTATGGTTCAGTGGTAGTAAATGTATTCATTTTGTTGAGCAACTATCACCACCATCCATCCCCATGACTCTTTTCATCTTCTAAAACTAAAACTGTATGCCTATTTAACAATCAGTCCCATTTTCCCCTCCTCCTAGCTCCTAGTAATCATCATTATACATTTGGTCTTTATGGTTTTGACTACACTAAGTACCTCATATAAGTGGAATAACAAAATAATAGACTTTCACTTTTTTGACTGGTTTATTTCCTTTAGCATAATATCCTTGAGGTTCATCCATGTTGCAACGTGTCAAAATTTTATTGTTTTTTAAGGCTGAATTATATTCCATTGTATGTATGTGCCACATTTTGCTTATCCATTCATCCACAGATGGGCACTTGGATTGCTTCCATATTTTAGCTGTTGTGAAAAATACTATTTTGAACATGGGTATACAGATATCTCTTTGAGACCCTACTTTTAGTACACCCAGAAGTGGAATTACTGGATCATATATAATTCTGTTTTTAATTTTTTGAGGAACCATCATACTATTTTTCATAGTAGCTGTGCCATTTTACATTTCCAACAACAGTGCACAAGGTAAAGTTCAAATTTATTCACTTTCTCATCACCCTCATTGTTTTGTTTTTTAGATAATAGTCATCCTAATGGATGTGATGTGGTATCTAATTGTAGTTTTGATTTGCATTTCTCTGATGATTAGTGATGTTGAATCTCTTTTCATGTGCTTATTTGCCATTCATTTATCTTTTTTGGAGAAACATTATGACCCAGGCCAGCTACTCACTGAATTCACAGGGCTTCCCCCACTCTGTCATGGCTGGCAATGTTACGCCCCAGGGACAGAATCTAAAGCCACATTGAGCCCACACACATTCAGCAGACACAGGTGGATTTTTATCTTGGTAAATCTGAAATGTCAATTTGTAGACTAAGGCTGAAAATCTCTAAAATTCTTAAAGCCACACACTGCTAGTAAGGTGGTTAAGGTGACAATACAAGCTCTTGGTATTGTCTTTTCCCCATGAAGTTAGTAAGACTCGTATGTTAAGTGATGTCTTCTTAGGGATGCAGGAGTGGAGTGTTTTGTGGGGTTTTGGGTTTTGGTTTTTTTGTTGTTTTTTTGGTTTTGTGTTTGTTTTTTATTGGATGTTTTGTTTTGTTTTGTTTTGTTTTTTTGAGAAATGTTTATTCAAGTCCCATTGCCCATTTTTTAATTGAGTTCTTTGATTTTTTGTTGTTGAGTTTTAGGAGTTCTCTATATATTCTGGATATTTTCTCCCAATCTTTCTTTGGCCTTTTGACTTTGCCAATAATAGTTTTTGATATATGAAAATTTTCATTTTTATTTAGTCAAGTGGATTATTTTCCTTGTACTTAGTTTATTTTGTGTCTTGTTTCAGAAAATCATTTCTACACCTAGAAAAAATATATTCTCTTGTATTTTCTGCTTATGGTTTTAGGTGGGTTTTTTTTCATATTTATATCTTTAATGGATCTGGGATTTATTTTTGTGAATGATATAGTTGGGGATCAAATTTCTTTTTTCCAAATGGATAGCCTGGTCTCCAAAACTCAGCTAATAACTAGCTTTTCCTTTCTTTACCACTTTGAAATGCCATGTTGATTATATTATAAATTCTTACAGATTTTTAAAAATTAAAGTATAGGGGTGACTGGGTGGCTCCGTTAGTTAAGTGTCTGCCTTTGGCTCAGGTCATGATCACAGGGTCCTGGGATCTAGCCCCCGGAGGGATCACTGCTCAGTGAGGAGTCTGCTTCTCCTTCTCACTCTCCCTTTGTGTGCTCTCTCTTTGTCTCTATCTCTGTCTCTCTCAAATAAATAAAAATCTTAAAAACTTGTTTAAAAATTTAAAAATTAAAGTATAGTTTATATACAATGTTATATTAGTTCTAGGTGTACAACATAGTAATTTGACTATTCTATACATTGCCATGCTCACCACAATAAGTGTAGTCACCATCTGTCATCATACATTATTACAGTATTATTAACTATATTCCCTATGCTGTACTTTTCATCTAACTGGAAGTTTATACCTCTTAATCCCTTTTACCTACTTTGCCCATGCACCCCCCTCAGCTACCTCCCCTCTGGCAACCACCAGTTTGTTCTCTGTATTTATGAGTCTGTTTCTATTTTTGTTTGTTTGTTCATTTGTTTTGTTTTTTAGATTCCACATAAAAGCAAAATCATGTGGTATTTGTCTTTCTCTGTCTTATTTCACTTAACATAACATCCTCTAGGTCCATCCATGTTGTCATAAATGGCAAGATCTCATTCTTTTTATGGCTGAGTAGTATTCCATTGTATATGTATATAAATGTGTATGTGTGAATGAATATGAATGTATACATATATATACACACACACACACCATATCTTCTTTATCCATTCATCTATTGATGGACACTTAGGTTGCTTCCATATCTTGGCTATTGTAAATAATGTTGCAATAAACATAGGGGTGCATATCTTTTCAAATTAATGTTTTCACTTTCTTTGGGTAAATACCCAATAGTGGAATTATGAGATCAAAGTGGTTGCACCAATTTACATTTCCAGCAACAGTACACAAGGGTTCCCTTTTCTCCACATCCTGCAGATGTTTTTTAATTATTTCTGAATTTCCTAAATATTCCACTGATATATGTGTCCCTTTTTGTACCAATATCACACAGTTTTATTAAGTCTTTATAATATATTTTCATAAGCAGTAGAGAAAAGTTTCGTAATTTTTAGAATCAGTTTTTCAAGTGGCATAAAAATTTTTGAGGGGATTTTGATTGGGATCCCATTGATTTTATTGATTAATCTGAGAAAAATTGAAACCTTTAAGGATTAAATTATTCCATACACAAACATGATGTATTAGCTTTTTATTTCAGTTCTCCTTTCATGTTCTTCAATAAAGTTTCCATAAAGTCTTGCACACTTATTTTTAGACTTACTCCTTAGCAGTTTAGAGTTGTTGCTCTAACAAATGAGATTTTTCTATTATTTTCTAGTTGATTGTTGATGGTACATATTGTTTTTTTATATGTTTAACTTGCTTTCTGGCTAACTCACTATATTCCCATATTAGTTCTGTCTGGTCATTAATTATCTTGGGTTTTCCTAGATGGAGGTTACTATCAAAGGTCTCCCAAGACTGTAACCAAGGTATCAGTCAGCCAGGATGCATTCTCATCTGGAGGCTTACCTGGAGAAGTATCTGCTTCTAATCTCACTCAGGTTGGCAGAATTCATTTCCTTATGGCTATAGAACTGGGGGCTTAGCTTCTTGTTGGGTGTCAGGTAAAGGGCCCTCCATTCATAGAGGCTGCTTCTGGTTCCTATAGGCAATCCACAAGTCCTTGCCAAGTGGGCTTTTCCAACATGGTCACTCATTTCATTAGGTCAGCAGCAAGAAGGTCTAGAGAGAGTCTGCTAGTAAGACAGAGTCATATAGAATGTAATATAATTATGGGAATGACATCCATTCATTTTTGTCATACTCTGTTAGAAATAAATCACAGGAGTCTGCTTCTCCCTCTGCCCCTCCTCCCACTCATTTTCTCAATCTGTCTCTCTCTCAAATAAATAAATAAAATTAAAAAAAAAAGAAAATATATCTCCTTGCACCTACTTTTTCCAGTAGCTAATACATTGACTGGCACTTAGTTGACATTTAATTCCATATTTGTTGAATGAGTGGCAAAAATGTTTGTTTTTATGAGTTGGAAACAAGCATAGAGAGAGGAGAAATGAAAGGGTTAGGAAAAGTGTAACACATGAAATACTTTTCGAGAATTCCCCCAAATAGTTGCCCTTAATTGGGAGTTTTCTATGAGTAGGCATCATTCCAGGTGCTGTATACAAATATTTTATATAATCCCTTTGACAACTTATGAAAGAAGTATTATTATCCCCATTTCACAGATGATAAAAAGATGTCTGGAGTTAAGTAATGTGCCCTCTGTCATGCAGGCTGGGGTTCAAATCTGATGAATGCCTATGTTGCTTATCCATATTCCTACACTGGGAAGTAGCAAACCGCAATATTTATGAGCCTATGTATTTTTTTTGAAAATTGAGTGAAACATGTCCATTTAAATTAAGAGGGAGGGCTGAGGACTGTAGCAAACTCAAGAGCCCAAACTCCATCTAAAGAGGATAACTTTATGACATGAGGAAATGCAGTCTATTGAGGCTAGAACTTTCAAATTTTATCATGAAAGGCTAAGAATCTGGGATTTTGTTTCTTGACTCAAATGTTGGGAACTATTTCTAAATAAAAATTTAAAAGACTCTTGAGATAAAACATCTATAAACAAACTATTAGTTTGCAAATTTTATTTTTTTTTAATTTAAAAAAAATTTTTTAAGATTTTATTTATTTGCGAGAGAGAGAATGAGAAACAGAGAGCATGAGAGGGAGGAGGGTCAGAGGGAGAAGCAGACTCCCTGCTGAGCAGGGAACCTGATGTGGGACTCGATCCTGGGACTCCAGGATCATGACCTGAGCCGAAGGCAGTCGCTTAACCAACTGAGCCACCCAGGCGCCCTATTTTTTTTAATTTTATTTTATTTTATTATGTTATGTTAGTCCCCATACATTACAGCATTAGTTTTTGATGTAATGTTCCATGATTCATTGTTTTCATATAACATCCAGTTCTCCATGCAGTACACGCCCTCCTTAATACCCATCACTGGGCTAAGCCATCCCACCACTGCAAATTTTAATATATACTGCATCTCCCCAAATAAGTTTTGAACAGCCAGGGGGCAGCATGAGGGTATAAAATGTTATTGAGTATGAAATGGATGAACTGCAATGCAAGTCTAGTGCACTTCACAGCTTTGCCCAGAGTGCAGACACAGAGGGCAGGGAGAGCCAGCTATCATGTTGCAGAAAAAGAGCCCACAGAGACTGGAGGAGGATGAGGTAAGGCCCCACTGTTGGTGTACATTCTGTATTCTCCAGGCATCCCCAGGGAGGGCACATTCCTCAAGGGCAAGCAGCAGAGCTGTTGATTTAAAAGATTCTTAGAATATTCTGATTCAATACCCCAGTGGAGTTTTCTTTGCCTGGAAACAATACATCTAGGCCATGCCTTGAACTGTGGGACATCCATAAGGAAGACTGTCATGATTCTAGGCCCCTAAGCAGTTTCCTGAGGCTTGGAAAGTCCCTTCAGGTCTCTCATCCTTTGACTTCTTTTTTCCCTTCCCAGGGAAGAGTGCTGATCACACCACCAAGTCTCAAGCCGATTCTCCATTCTTGACTTCTGGAGAAAATTGGAAGATTGACTATTGTCATACAGTGAGTCTGCAGTTTTTCAGTGAAGTTTTAAAACAGTTGCAAAGTTACTTACAATTACTTCTAGGGGTGCCTGGGTGGCTTGTTCGGTTAAGCGTCCAACTCTTGGTTTCAGCTCAGGTCATGATCTCGGGGTCCTGAAATCAAGCCCCATGTCAGCCTCCCTGCTCAGTGCGGAGTCTGCTTAAGATTCTTTCCCTCTCCCTCTTCCTCCCCCTCTGCCCCTCACCCTGCTCGCGTGCGTGTGCTCTCTCCCTCTCTCTCTCAAATAAGTAAATAAATAAAATCTTACAATTACTTCTAGAAAATCTAAGTAGCTAACCAATAAGCCCATCCTTCCTGGAATGCAACATGGCTCTCTGAGATTATTAGGGAATTTAGACAAGATGAGATGAAGAGGACTACAAAGAAGTTTGCACAGGTCCAGGTATAAGAAAAGAGCCATGTGATAGAGAAATTTGACTGCGAGCTGTGAGTTGGGTCTGGATGTGATCCTCTTTTTCTCTCAAGGGGGCACCAGGTACTGAAGGCCACCCGGACAGGTTGCTGGCATGTGCATTTTGAAAAAGCTTCTCTGTTATTTTTGATATCCTCTCCCCTCACCACCCCCACCAAAGCCCAGCTGAAAATCCCTGTGATAAAAGAAAAGAGAAATGAAAAAGGCATCCTGGGAAAGCAAGGCTGTGGATTGGCCAAGATGGACACAAAGCAAAGAGTGAAGTCATTCCTTCCTAGGGAAGACGTGAAAAGGTCCTTACTGTTTACTGCAACCTCACTGTGACTTGCTTGCCTTCTAACATTCCCCTGGGGAGATAATAAATAGATACAGTGCTTTACAGAGCAATGCTCCTATTGTTCCCCTGCCACACAAAGCTACTCAGAAATGGTGCCCTGGGGCTGTAACCCTAATTTCTTTTTAACATTCACGAGCAAACCAATCGTGGTTGCAGATAAAGACTCCAGAGATATTGTGCTACTTTCTCAATGAAAAAGAAGAATTGAGGCTATGCTGAACTCCACTGCAGAACAGAGCACAGTATAATACATTCCATTATGCATTTATTCCCTCCACTGTCGGCATACAGAATAGTCCCAACATGCACACTCTGCTCTTCCCTTAGTGCTCCTACCAGGCCCTCTCCCATCCCACCTTCATGCTCCAGTGCATTTCAGACCATAACCAGCCAGTGCTCTGCCCCTATTAACTATGTACACACTCCCACCCTGCTGGCCTACAGCAGTGCTCTTACTGATGACTCTCATTTTTGGATTCCTCTACTCTCAGTTTTAGCTACATTCCCTCCTTTAAGCCTCACACCAATGTTTTGAAGTGAAGACTTTCCTCATTTTACAGATGAGGAAGGAAATTAAGGCAGAGATGTTAAGGGAGTAATTTGTCCAGAATTACAGTTTGTCCCGAATGCAAGTCCTAGTCAAGGTGGACTCCAAAACATCACTCTTTCCATCAACTTGCATTGGATTATCCACACACTCAGCCTCTGCCTTTCTTTTACACACCTCCAGCCCACTCATCAAGTATGCTCTCTTTTGAACATTCAGTCACACTTTCTCTAACCCCTTTTTCTTTGCTTCTTCTTGCTTAGTTTCCTGATAAAAATTCCTGCCTTATTTTTTTCATTCATTCCTATGTGACTTGTTCTATATGTGAAAAAGTAGTACTAGGCAAGTACCTATTAAAGAAAAGTAAATTTGTGGGGCGCCTGGGTGGCTCAGTCGTTAAGCGTCTGCCTTCAGCTCAGGTCATGATCCCAGGGTCCTGGGATCGAGCCCCACATCAGGCTCCCTGCTCCGCGGGGAAGCCTGCTTCTCCCTCTCCCACTCCCCCTGCTTGTGTTCCCTCTCTCACCGTCTCGCTCTCTGTCAAATAAGTAAATAAAATCTTAAAAAAAAAAAAAAAGGAAATTTGTGACTTTACAAGTAAAAATAAACATAGTAAACAGCAGCCCTATTCAAAGATAGGGAGATACCCAAAATTCCTCCAGAATTTCTACAAGAATGCGCATCCACTTTCTCCTCCTTCTCGGATGAAATATTTTTAACTTAACCATCAGCAGTAAATTATATCATTTTCAGTTTGGTGTAGTTTTTACCCCAAAATTGCAATATTTCAAGTCAGAGACCTTTGCAGGCTGACCTGGGAACCCAACCACCAAACATGCTATGGTAACTTAGAAAAAGGAATTTTTAAAACCCCATTTTAGTTGGTAATAGTTTGTTTAGTTTGTAGAAATGTATACTATGGAAAAGTATATGTATAATGTCTCCAGTCAAAGTCTGTGCAAGCTCCTGTTTAAGTCAGGACAGGAGCTTCCCTTTTCCCATAATCTTATACACCAAAGGGTTGTTGCTTATTTTTTTTCCACAAGTAATTATCTAAATGTGTTTATTCTCTTATCCCTTTCAGCTGCCTGCCTGCTTGATCAATCAACGCAGAGTCCGTGTTCCTTCCTCTAGTTTCCTGCTCTTCCTCATTATTTCAGCCCCAGTGCGTCACTGATGAGCTTGCCTGCACAGCATGAAGGTGGGTGTACACAATGTTGTAGATAATTGAGAGATGAGATAAGATCCAGGATTTCATTTATGACACCTGCCTCTTATTCCATAGTTTGGTGTCAGGAAGATATGCTTTGGTGTCCCTATATTTTGTCATAAATATATTTTTATAAAACATTTTCTTATAAGTTCAACATCTTTCAAAAATGATCCTTGTTCAAAAGTGGAATCCTGGTCTAAGATTTATGAGAACTCTATCCAGTTCTGTTTCAGGACCATTTATGTGACCTTGGGCAATAAAATAATCCTATAATCTTCTCTGTGAATACAACACAGTTGCTTTCCTCAAAGGGAACTTGGCACCATGGACTTATATTTGCTTCAGCCTCTGCCCTCATAAAGCAGCTTATACTTTTGTGCGGAGACTGGATACACATATGTAAAACAGAGAAAAAGTCAATGCAAACTATAATCAAACTCTAAAATTTGTCATTTACTTCAAAATGCTATCAAAAGTCAGTAAATAGATGTCCCTACGGACTAATATATTTGGCAATGACGTAATGGAGGAGGAGAGCTTTAAGGTGAGTCTAAACATGTGGATAGGTGTTAGTCGGCTAGTACTGCCATAACAAAACGCCAACTACTGGGTGGCTTAAATAATAAGAGTTTATTTCTCACAGATCTGAAAGCTGGAAGTCTAAGATCAAGGTGCTGACCAGTTTAGTTCCTGATGAGAACTCTCTTCCTGACTTACCCAAGGCTGCCTTCTCAGTGTGTGCTCACATGCCTTTCCTCAGTGCATGAGCAAGAATAGAGAAAGAGAGCGAGTTCTCTGTTGTCTTAAAAAGGACTAATCCTGTGGGATCAGGGTCCCACCTTTAGGACCTCATTTAACTATTAATTACCAGTGGGGCACCTGGATGTCTCAGTCGGTTAAGTGTCAGGCTCTTGATTTCTTTTTAGGTCATGATCTGAGGGTTGTGAGATCTCCCCACCCAATGTGGAGCCCGCTTGGGATTCTCTCTCTCTTCCTCTACCTCTGCCTTTCCCCAACTTTCTCTAAAAAAAAAAAAAAAAAAAAAGTAATTACTAGTAATTACCTTAATTAATTCCTTCAAGGCCCCATCTCCAAATATAGCCACATTACATGTTAGGGCTTCAGCATATGAATCTGGCAGGAGAACACAAGCATTCAGTCCATAATAGTAGGACATATGACCAAAATGTATGTGGGAAAGTGTTTTGGACCAAGGACAGTGTGAGAGAAGATGAGATCATAGGAAAAGTTTATATGGGGTCTATGTGGTGTGTGTGTGTGTGCACGCACGCACACGTGCATGCACAAACACCCGCATGTACTTGAGAGAGCATTAATTATTTCTAAACACTTATTGAGTGCCTGCTCTGGACCAAGCATTGTTCCTGGCACATGGGCTGCCCTCATAGAGTTATTTCTAGCAAGCGAGGGGGAGATACACATAAACATAATAAGTCAATTGTTTTAGTAAATGTTATCAAATGTGTAAAAGTGATGAGTACTATTGAAACAAGAAAGTAGAGCAGGAGATGGGGGTCAGGGGTGCAAATGGTGAGGGGGAGAGGTTGAGAAGTTTCATGAGGGTAGTCCATATAGGCCTCACTGAGAAGAGAAATAAAGATTTGAGGGAGTTAGTGAAATGGATAAGTTAGGGAAAGCATTCCAGATAGAGGAAGATAAAGCAAAGGCCTAAAGGCAGAAAATTCTTGACATTCAAGAAGAAATGAAGATGCCAGTGTGGCCAGAGGGGAGTGAGTGAGAGCAGGAGCTGTAGGAAAGGTCAAAGCAGGCTTTGAAAGCCATTGTAAGGACTTCAGCAGTTAACTCTATATGAATTGGGAGCCAGTGCAGGGTTTGAATAAAAGAATGACAAGACCTGACTTTTTAAAAGCTCACTCTAGCTGATGTGTGTAGGGTTAGGAGCTGGGAGGCCGAGAAGTGTTTATTGCAATAAACAGAACAAGATACGATGGCGGTTCAGACCAGGGTGGTACCAAGGGAGGTGAGAGCTGTGGTCTGATTCTGGACATATGTTGGCAGCAGAGCCAAGAAAATTTACTGACAGACTGAAGGAATTAGAGGAGTCAAGAATGATTTTGAGTTTTATGTTTATATATTACACCAAATCATTTCACTATAGTTAGAGCATTTCTACTTTCTCTGCCCCACTCCATCTGTTACTTTGCAGGCAAAAAATGTGGGACTTGGAGAATCTCACTGAGTTATCCAGTCTTTACGTTAAAGGATTTAGAACCAAAATTTTGTGTTGGTAATACATGATATAACTTCATTTTATGTTGGTTTAGAGCAACCTGTGTTGTTAAATATGAACATTCCTTGATCACTCTGGAATCTGCGCTTTTTTTTCAGCGTGTCAGATACTCATAATCTGCACAGTTTTCTTCCTTGATCACTCTGAAAAATTGCAGTTCAACTCCCCCTATTTCCCTTTCTTAGTTGATTTTTCTCCCAATCCAACATCTCGCATACTATATATTTATATATACTTACATATCTTGTTTATTGTCTGTCTCCCCCACGAGAATATAAACAGCAGTTTTTCTCAGTTTGTTCATTTTCTATATCTCTGCTCCCTAGAAGAGTGACTGGTACACAGCAGGTTTCAGTAAATATGTATGAAGTGAATACATGCACGAATGTGTGGAAGAAAGGAGAGCAGGAAGAAAGATAGAGGAGGTGAAAGAGATGGAGAGAGAGGGAAGGAGATTAAATGATGAAACTGAAACTGCTTTGCAAGCACACATTCTGCAATGCCCTTTGCTAAGGGACACAGGAAATTCAAATTCTCTGGCCTTTTAGGTCTAATAGCCATACACATATGCACAAACAAAATAATAAAATGGAATTTTAAAGTAATAAAATATAAATCAAATGAAAGAATTGTTAGTTTTTAAAAACTAAATTCAACTATTGTAAATTCATTTCCCACAAATGATATTGAGTCTGAACACATTTTCTTTACTCTAGAAGATTTGAAATCCTGCCATTTTCCACTGGATGGAAGATAAAAGCTATGGCAGGAGTTAGAGAAACTATGATATAGATTTTTTTTAATGACTATTGAGCAAATAAATCAAGTGACACCATTCTCCCAAATAATGCTGAACTGTAGCATTTAGTTGCTCATAATTCTGAATGGCTCACAGAAGAAAACATGCTACATGCTTATGTATGAACTGAAGAAGAACTAAAATTTCAGGGCACAAGGTCATGATTCAGAAAGTTGGCCTTTCCAAACTCCAGTCCCCATGAATCAAAATGCAGTATAGCCAGCAGGCATGGGAGTCATTTCCTGCTACTGAATCAGTAGCACTGTCTGCTACAACTCTTCCTAGATTTGGGTTGTATGAAGACCTACTCTTGGAAACCTTAAGTGAATATTTTCAGTTAGACCATATGTAATATGGGTATTTCAGTTTGCAGTTAACAAAACATGGTTATGTATCTTACCCATCCTGTGGACTAGGTGGAGCTCCCTTTCCCAAAGAAGATGCAAATCAGTTAAACTCTTGGCTGTGTGGTCCCTGTGCTGGTTATCTTCTTTTTTCACTCCAGACCCATTCTCTTCCCTTCTCCACACTCTCCCCCTTCTCTGTCTTCTGTGCCTGGAAAGCCACTGGCCTGCAGCAAGGACCCCCTGGGCTTCTGGCTTCTCACTGTGTTTGGCCAAGGAGAGACACTGGTGGGAGAGGAGAGGGCAATGGAGAATAAGCCCTGAGCCTTTATTTCCCCAACTCCCTTCTTAGCAGGCCTCAGTGAATAAGCCATATCCCTCTAGGCAAACCACAGTTCCCTTCCAGTGGGTGGCCTCTCTGGGTTCTAGACTCAGCCCCCTTCTCCCTATCCCTTCAGGCTTAGAGATAGTAACATGTTAATGGCTGCCAATACTGCACTGTTGGTTGTTTTCCTTGAACTTAGCCTTTGCTTTGTAAGTAGTTCCTTTATTAAATTCTTCTCAAATCACCTGCTTTGAGTGTGCCCCCATTTTGGTGTTAGAACCCAACAATGCGCAGGCTTAATAAGTAAGGAGAAGAAAAAGATTTGTACCCAGGTATGTTAACTTCAAATCCAGGCCCCTATTTAATTGTCAAGGCTATCAGTATGATGAAGCTATATGCCTTCTAGAGGAAACCTGATTGACCACTTCATTTTTTTTAACAATACCAAATGCCTCTCTCACTTTGAATTTCATTTATTCAAACTGCCCACCAGCATTTGTTGAAAGCGCACTCTGTGCCAGACACCTTGCCGTGTGCTAGAAATCCAAAGATGAATAACACATCTCTGTCCTCAACTTTCTCAGATCAAATGAAGGTAGGTGTCACACATTGAGATCACTGGAAGCTGATTTTGAGGTGAAGAACAACATGCAGAAAATTGATGAGGGAGTTCTTGGAATCAGCACCCATGGAAAGGCAAAAAGGAAACGGATTAGGAACAAGAAGTTGAGCTGTGATGCAGTATCAATGGAAGCCACAGCTGACCCTGCAGAGATTTCGGAAGTTCTCGTGAGCTTCAGACTTGAACCTCCCTAGGTGTAAGGGCCGAGCCTTTAACCTCCATGTTGGTTAGTCACTGGATGCTAAGCACCCCAGAAAAGGGACCTAACTTGGCTTAGATGGCTCTTTTCAACAAAGGCAATCCCCACAGGAAGCTGACATTTGAGGACTGTCTCCACTGGCATTTCCAGCATCTGAGAGAATATGTTCTTCATTCCAGAGAGGGATCAGTACCTCTCATGCTAGGGAAAGGAGAAGAGACAAATAATTAGACAAAAATGTCATTAGGTCAGCCATAGAGATATGCACAGAGTATTATGGAAGCCCAAAAAAGGAACTTAATCCAGTCTTGTGAGTCTTGAAGAAACTTCTTGAACAAGATGATTCTTAACTTGAATCCTAAAGGCTAAAGAAGAAATTAGCCAGACAAAGGAGATGCAGCATGCAAGGGCAGAGCCTGAATGTGGC